AGGATATATTGGTTTATTCTTTCGAGTACGTTTCTTGAATCCCATAAAAGGCTAAAAGACTATCAAAGTTAATATATCCTTCCAATAACATGATATTTGGCTGACATTTTTAAAAATCGGAAATTTTTGACACGTTTCTTCTGGTATCAAATTCTCAATAGTTTAAAATTTTCAACATTTTATATTTCGAAAATGTAAATTTTTTTTTAAATAAGTTTGAGTATTTCTTCCCGAAAAAATGGATTTTTTCAAAAACTTTCAATGACCAAAAAAAAACTCGAATATTTTAAGGTCTTCTAAAACAGAAAAAGACCTTGGGCTTTGTTGGAAAATTTTTTTTCAGGTCTTCGAGTCAATTTTTTTTAATTAACCAAAAATTGTAAATTTTTTTACAAAATATTTCCAAAAAAATGCCATACGAAAATCGATGATTTTTAAAAATATTTTTAAAATAGCTGAGCAGAAAGAATCGAGAATTGTTTTTAAATCTTCGGGAATATTATTGACTAGCGAGTGTCTCCTGCTTCGTATCGAAGTTTTTCCATTTTCAGAAAGAATTATAGGAAAATATTTACCTTTTATAGCAATAACTCTCCAAAATCTTTAAGTTTGAAGTTTACAGTGAAGGATATTAGTGAAACCATTGCACAGTGGGCCCACATGCAATTTTTCTCTCGGACACCAATTTAAATTCTCTATGTAAGCCATAGAAACCAACAGTGACCTCAATATTAAATTTGAGGATTTCAGCTTTATCTCTTCAGTCAATACCAAATTTAGTAACATTTAGTACGTATATACAAAATAATCTACATCTGTTCATTCTAGATACCAACAGTGAACCAAAATTAGTAACATTTTGTACTTTTTGTAAAATTATAGTACACATTTCCAAAACCATCTCCATTTTTCAAAACCAGATACTAACAGAGGTCTCAACAACAATTTAGTAGCACATTTCCGAAACCAGCTCAATTCCAGATACCAAGGGAGACCTCAATGTAAAATTCCGGGATTCAAGCCCTATTCTTTAAGATAATATCACATTTGATACCATTTAGTACTTTTCGTAACACTATAGTACACATTTCTGAAACCCCCTCCAGGCTACACATAAACAGCAAACTTAATACCAAAGTTCCGACTTCAAGCACTAACTGGTCACCAAATCGTACTAAACATAGTACTATTTAGTACTTATTGTGTACTTGTAGCACACATTTTTAAAATAACCACTTTATCACAAAACTACCGCCAATTAAAACTCCAATATCAACATTTCCAATTACCAGTTTAACCTTTTACTCAAAGCGAAATTTTACCAAGTCTCTCACTCCAAATTTCCAGTTCTTTTCTTTCCCCAACTACCAAATGAAATACTATTTATTACTTTTCGTACTTTTTAGTACGTATTTCCAAATCCTCCGCCATATATCAATCAAACCGCCCAAAAGGCCATCCTGCTGAAAAGTTTTAGACCTCCAACTCAATTTCTTACCCTTTGAGTGGGATGTACCAGAATCGTGGTCCGTTGTGGGGGAGGTACCAGAAGGAGCGGACCAATACATTCCAGATTCAAACCTGATCTTGTGTTAATTGAATAATTAGGATGTGCCGAGTTTGGAATTAATCGGATGCCCACTTCGCACTTTATAAGCTTCATTGTTATTTAAAACTTTGACCCATTGTGGGGGAGGTACCAGAAGCAGTGGTTGGTTTTATTCGTTTTTTTTTAATAATTAAAGAGATTTTTATTTCAAATTTTATAATAGTTGTAATTATTCCAATTGCTTAACCTTTGTGGGGGAGTTAATTGATTGAGTGGACCGATATTGTCTATTTTCTGACCAGCCTCATAAAAATATTAGGATTCCCATTGTTTGCAATCTATCGTGTCTATCTATCTTGTTCTTTGGGTAAATTATTTTCTGTGAACATTTAACCTTTTCTGTGAACATTTAACCTTTTGTTTGGGAGGTACCAGATGAAGTGGAACAATATTGCCCATCTCCGAACTCGATCTAAATTTGACAATAATATGAGTATGTACCAGGTTTGGACCTATGTGGTACTCGCTTCGAGAGTTATCGTGCGCACCAGCTAGCCAGACAGATGGATGGACCCCTACATCGGTTTTAAATGTCCTTTGGCCGTATCAAATGCTATATAGTTATATGGCTGAGGGTATAAAAATATGTAATTTATTTTAGAATTTATATGAGACTAGCTGAACCTGGTGCGCTTCGCTACAACTTTTGATTTTATATGCATTTAACATTTTACATACGAATATTTTTTTGTTAAAAAAAAAACTTTAAAAATTTAAAAAACGTAATTTTTTTAATACTTTAATGTGTAAACAAACAAGTAGCTCGGTCTACCAATGCAGGAACATGACAGGAACAGCTGACCATGAGAAAAGCAGGAACATGCCAAATTTAGTTTGCATACACAAAGGGTTTGGCCTTAGAATTTATTAATTATATATCAAATGCCAAGCGTGCAGGAAACTGCATTATTTTGAAGTTGAGTGACATTTCTGTTGCAATTAGGGAATTTGAGGTAACAACATACCTCCCCGTAATAATCGTATCCTCAATTAAATTGTTGTGTAGTTTTTTACTGTTAGCCTGAGACCATTGCATAGGTGTTGTGGGTCAAAGCCTCTTAATAAAATTATACCCCAATCCGAATCGATTTCAAAATAATTTGACAAAATTTATTTTTAGACCAAATTTCGTCCCACCCTCCATATTTCATTGAAATTGGAGGTACATTCCGTATTTTGTGCATCAAATATGTGAAATCGGCCGAGAATATGTATGGGAGCTATATCCAAATCTTACCGATTTCAAATTAATTCGTCAAATTTATTATTGTAACCAATTTCCGCCACACATTCTAAATTTCATTGGAATCGGACATACATATCGTGTTTGGGGTATAACAGACATGAAATCGACCGAAATATATATATGGGAGCTATTCCCAAACCTCAACCAATTTCAATATAATTTGGCACATTTTTATTTATTTATTTATTTATTTATTTATTTTTTTTTTGATACCAAATTTCGTCTCTCTGTCCGAATTTCATTGGAATCGGACATACATATCGCGTTTGGTGCATCAAATATGTAAAATCGGCCGAAAATATATATGGGAGCTATATCCAAATCTCAACCGATTTTAATATAATTTGGAAAATGTATGTACGTTTTAAATTCCGTTATACATTCAAAATTTCATTAAAAATAGAGATCATAGCGTGTTTGGTGCATCAATTACACAAATTCGCCCCAAAAATGTATATGGGAGCTATATCCAAATCTGAAGCGATTTCAATATAATTTGGCAAATTTATTATTGTTCCAAATTCCGATACGCATTCCAAATTCGGGGATTGTATCTGTAATCGATCAATAATATATATGTGCATATATAATCTAAATTTTTGGGAGGTACCTCCGATTCTGATGCCATATCTCCATTTGCAAGTGGAATTTTAAAAATGTATATAGCCTAAGTTACTTTCAGGCGATGTTGTAGTATACTTGGAAATTTTCAGGAAAATGTGTTCTGCGGTTTTCGAGTCCATAAATTACAAACAAACAAACATACCAACTTTTCCCTCTTTTATAGGTATAGTTTGCAATTTGACATACATTTTCCCATTTAAAAAGTATTTGCAATTTTTTGGCCGATATAAAAATAAAAAGCCAAATCAGAATTTATGCTCTCTAAATTGAAAATCGATTTCGAAAGGTTGTCTTTGATATTTTACCACAAGCAAATGGCAACTTCTACTTTAATACCTACGTCTTTAAATCGAAAGCCGACTGAAATATCCCTAGTTGAAACAGATTTTTATCAATCGACAAACATTCATAAGGCTTCAATGGAGACATACGCAGGGGCCATTTTGGTCGAACCTTTATCAAAATTCGGTTGATGAGAAAATCTGAGACCATTCTATTAAACGATAATTTTTTCTCACAAATTTTAGTAGGGTATTTAAATTCAAAATCTTGTTATTTCAAAATAGTACGACCTTAGTTACAAAACCTATAACTGTAATTTCTTGTTTTTTTTTTTTCTATTTTGTCCTCATAATTATAATTGCCACATTCAAAACTAATATTTCAATCCATGTTAATTTCCAATTAACATTTTGATGTTATTCGGTATTGAATGTTATTTGGAGCAGGGAGAGACTGACTGACTTATTTGTATGTGATTAATTTTATTATTTTAGGGGGTGGTTTCACGTGCTAGCAGCTCATCACCAAACAAACGAATCCAGCGATGGAGAGAGGGGTGGGGGGGCGTACTGCTCCCACATGCGCACGTTACGTTTAGAATAGTTCCCTTGCAACAAACATCAACAACCAAAAAAAAAAAATCCCAACAGACAACAAAAACAAATTTATTTATTGTTGACTATTATTATTATTTTTCGTTGTTTTTTTTTGTTTTCAAAATGAAAAAATAATAACAAGAAGAACATGAAAAGCGATATCTCCTGAATTTGTTGTCATTTTGTTTCCTTTAGTCCTCAGTCCTCCAGTTCGATATTTTACGCTTAGCTTTACATTGTTGTTTTCAATTTTCTTTTGTTGGCGACTTTTTCGGGGGCTTTTTCTTTTGCGTGTGTTTTTCTTTTTCTCGTGTTTTTTTTTTTTCAATGTTTTCTTTTCAATTTTGTTGGCGTCTGGCTGGGTGGGTGTTGGCGTCCGTCTTGGCTTTGGTATTTGTTTCTGTTTTTTTTTTTTTCATCTTCTCTGTGTCTTCAGTACTTCTCATGTCGCATTGTTGTGGTTTATGGTTATAAATTTTGTTTTAATTATTTTTAATTTTTTTTCTGGTTTGTTTGTTTGTTTTTCATTAGTGCGTGTAGCAGTGAAATAAATATTTAAGTTGAGAAAAATGAAATGACAAAAAAAATATAATATATCATAAAGTTGTTGTTTCTGCAACGCTTAACTTAAAATAACAAGCACCTTTTTTTCTTTGCTTTCCCAAAAATTTATTTTTTCCTCGATACAATTTTTCGGGTTATTAATTTTTTGCACTCGATTTTTTTCACTTTTTCTTTGAATACACATTCATTGGTTTTCTTTTAATTTATGATTTTTCAAAAGAAAACAAAATTTTCTTGGCTTTCCGTTTTCTTCACAGGGTTACTGGCTAAATGCTTATTCCCAATCCATTTCTTTTTTTTTATTTATTTTTCCAAACACACTCTCAAACATCACCACTGAGCAATGGCCGATGATGATAACCGCACGCACTCGTTAGGCACTTTTGACCAACTTTACCGCATAAAATCTTAACAGCAACTGGCAAATGTTTGGCCTGCAAAAAACAAACGGCCATCGATTCTCCAGAACGTCCGTCCATTGATGAGAAATTCGGAATAAACTTTTGTTTTTCTTTTTTTTTGGCTGATTGCGTTTGGGCCTGGTTAAAAGGCAGAGAAAGCTTTTTTTCTATGCTTTCGTTTGACACTCTCTGCTTGTGCCCAACAATGACCTGTCTCTCGTCGACAGTGTTGACATAGTTTCACAGGTTGTTGTTTTTCCCAGTTAGGTGTGTGTTTTCAAGGAGAGAGTTTTACTCTCCCATTTTCGTTCTCTCTCTCTCTCTCTCTCTCTCTCTCTCTCTTGGCATGTATTTAACAGGATTATGCTACAAGGCGTAAACGCATGCGTTTAACTTACATTAAGAGACCCATTGTAATATTTCAGATGCAACAATCCTTTCGGAGTTGGCTGCAATTTTGTATTTGTAATTTGTTGTTGTTATTTTTATGTTTTTGTAATCATAAACATTTGGGTTGGGACACTGTGAGAAAAAATATGAGAAATTTCATTTGAAAATTTTCTATGGAAAATTGTTGTATTAAAAATTAGATCAAACTAATAGGTTTTTCAATGGAAAATGCGAAAAGAAAAAATAATGTGAATTAAAAAAACTTCGATTTTGGTTTATAATTTTTTTTTTATTTTCCTCAAATCTACCACATTTTCCGAATTTGCTGCAAATTTACTTATAATTAGAGATTTCTTAAATTTAATGATTGATTTTATGAATTCTTTTAAAAAAGTGATTTTTTTTTATTCTTTTTCAGAATTTTTGTGCCAAGAAATCGGAATTTAATAGAATTTATTTTGGGGATTTTATGTTAAGAAACAGAGGAAAAAATTACGATTTAAAAAAAATTAATAAGAAATTAATATTTTTTAAACATTTTTTCGGGGTTTTATGCCAAGAAACCGTAGAAAATAATTAATTTTTTTAATATACTTTTTTAAAAATCAAATAAGAATTTCATGCCAAGAAACCTCCCAAAAAAGGACTTCTTTAAAAAAAAAAAGATTTTGAATTTTTAAGTTTTTATAATTGTTGATTTTTAAAATTAATGGTGGATTTTATGAACTCTTGAAAAATCTAGAATTTTTTTATAAATCACAATTCTCAACAAAAAATTATGACTTTCAAAATATTTTTTTAAAGAAATTCCTTAAAAAAATTGTGGATTTTTTTAGAATTTATTTAGGAATTTTATGTCAAGAGACTGTGGAAAATTTACGATTTGAAAAAATTGAGAACTTTCAATAGGAAATAATTTTGTTAACATATTTTGGGATTTTATGGCAAGAAACCGTTAAAAAATTGTGGATTTTTTAAATATTTTTTTTATAAAAATCGAATAAGAATTTCATGCCATGAAACAATCGATAATTTTTAAAGGAATTCATTAAAAAAAAAGTTAAAAAAAATTAAACTTTATAAACAAAATCTGTTTTTATAAAAACAACAACGATGGGATTAAGGCTAAATATCTTGCAACAAAAAAATACTTCGGTATCCCGAAAAAAAATTTTCAAAACTCTTAAAAAAGTTTAATTTTTAAAAATTTGCGATTTCATGCCGAGAAATTAAGCAACGAATTATGGATTTAAAAACTATATACATTTTCAAGGACTTCTTTTAACCAATTATAAGATTTAAAATACTTTCTGTTCAAGAAAAAGGCTGCCAAATAATTGCGGGGCAAGAATCAACCGCCGTGATTATACCCTCAGCCATATGGTATACCCTCTCTATATATCATTTGATACGGCCAAAACGTGCCTAGTGGAAATAACGATTTCAGACCCTAGGTCTCTTTGGACAAAATCCGTTTCAGGAAATTTGGAGTAGATCTAGAGATGTCCGTCCGTCCTTCCGTCTGTCTGGCTGGTTAGCACGACTCTCGAATGGAGTTTCCGTTTTGATCCAAACTTGGTACATCGTAATATTATTGTCAAACTTAGATCGAGTTCGGAGATGGGCAATATCGGTTCACTCCTTCTAGTACCACCCCCACAAAATTTCAACATTTTCAAAGAAACTAATTTACTGCACAGAAAGAGAAAGAATAACCCAATTTGGTTCCAACTTCGCATATCCCAATATTTGCATGAGTGGTAGGTCAGATGCTCAAATGGACAATATCAGTCCACTTCATCAAGTACCTCCCCCATAATGGGTGAATAATTATTACGCTTATAAGATGTGAAGTAAGAATCCGATTGTCTTCAAACTTCACACATCCCAATATTTTTATAAACGCAAGACCTGGTGTTCAGATGGTCAATATCGTTCCACTCTGTCTGGTACCTCCCCCACAAAGGTAGAAATCTTCAAAAAATATATTTTCTGCACAGAAAGAGAAACGATAATACGATTTTGCTCAAAGTTTGCATGGGCACTAGGTCAGGTGCGCAAATGGACAATATCAGTCAAGTACCTCCCCCACAAAGGGTCAAAATTTTCAATAATGCAACCCTTTTAAAGTGTGATGTAATAGTCCCATTGTCTTCACATTTCACACATCACAATATTTTTATAAACCACAGATCTGGTGTTCATATGGTATATATCAGTCCACTCCTTCTGGTACCTCCCCCACAAAAGGTCAGAATTTTCAATATTCATTAAGCGAAATTAATATCCGATTGCATTTAGACTTGGCACATCTGAATATTTCTATCAAGACAGGATCTGTTAAAATGATGGTAGAGATCGGAACATTTCTTCTTGTACCTCCCCCACAAAGGGTTAAAATTTTGGATATTCAAAACGATTATAAAATCCGAAATAGACATGCGGTTCTATTTAAATTACACACATCACAATATTTTTAAAAGCCAATAGTCTAGTGTGAAGATGGGATATATCGGTCCTTCTGGTACCTCCCCCAGCAAGGGTCAAGATTTTGAGTAGCCATAAAGCTCATAAAATGCGAAATAAACGTCCGATTCCATTCAGACTTGGTTAATCTCAAAATTTCCATCAACACAATACCTGTTATAAAGATGACAGGGATCGGACCTTTTTTCTGGTACCTCCCCTACAAAGGGTTCATGATTGTCAAAACATAACGCTCAAAAAAAGCGTATAATTTGATGGAAAATTTTCACACATACAAACATTTTGGCTAACGCAAGATCTGCTGTGAAGATGATATATATCTGCGCACCCCTTCTGATACCACCCACAATGGGTCACAATTTTCAATACTTTTTTCTGTCATAACTTGCGAAAAATATTTTTCTCACCCGGATAACTGAAGTGAATCTGTTATTTATGAATTTCGTAGATTGGATATAATTGTTAGATTTTCTTGTAATTTTGCCAATGCTTTTATCTGTTTTAGATGAAGTACGAATATGGAATTCTTCCGTCGATTGTACCTGGTACACGCACATTTAACATCATCTAAAAATGATGATATATTTCATACAAGTGGAGGAAGTAACCAATATAGTCCAAACCTGGCATGTCGCAATATTTATAGCATATTTATTAAGGTCCGATACGAAATGGACATTATTGGGCCATTCTTTCAAAACCCACTCCATAGAGGGTCAGGAGTTTGAATAATCATAACCGAAGTTAAAATATATTTAATTAATCGAACATTGGCTGAGGTTAGATATATGTCGGCAAACCCGATCGATACTTTTTACTTGTTTTAAAGATTTTTTAAGACTTTGTGGCCAACAAACCCATGGATTTAAGAAACAATTTTTACTACTTACTCCGCCAATGAATTGTGAGTCTAATGAAATTTAAGGGCTTCCGTACATTTTTTAATAAAAACTATTTATTGAGTACTTGCTGCAAAAAAATAATATTAAGGATTGACATATTTTAATAGACAATATTATCTTGGAAATAATACCCTAAGATGTAGGAGGTTGTGTCTTATATATCCGCCTTAAATTGATTTTTTGCATCATTAAACTATTTAAAAATAACAAGTTTATCATTATCGCAAAAATATTAAATTTTCAACTTTAATTTCACAATAATTAGCTTATCCGTTAAATGTTGTGCTTTTCGGGTTTTCGTAAATTTAAGTGGGTCAATGCCAATAAATGCAATCATTGTCATCATTATTAGCAAACAAAGTTCCGCACATATATGTCTGTGTGTGTATGTATGCATACATATATACTAGCATTTTATACTCTCTGCTCCTCTTGTTAGACAAATTCATGTAGCATCAAATAGAGTATATTTTTGGAAATGTTTCGTCATGAGGGGGCGGGCGGTTGGTGGCTAAGCTAAAAATAAAAAAGCGCGTTTTAAAACTTATCTAAGCATAGCATTCTGGCACACATTGCTTTAAATGTGCAGCTACTTCCTTCCACACCGCAGAGTATGGTATACATATCTAAGGTCACTTTGGTCCATGGCATGCCAGGGCTATTGTTGTTATTGTTGGCTCATGCTACCTAATGCTGTTGTTGACATTCTTTTTTTGTTGTTGTTGTTGGTGTTGTTGCATATTGGTAGACACACTCACACCATTGATAAGACTTGAATACGAATGCATCAGCAAAAAAAGGATGATAGTATAGCATAGCATTTGTGACGTCATTAGTTGGTGTGATAAGTTCTTGCAGATGGAAGAATTGAAGTCACCTACATTTGACAATGGGCCCCGTAAGAGTTCCCCTCGCTCGCTCGCTCAGTCCCACTCTCTCAGGTAGTTGCATACGTATGAATGAATGTTAAATTGCTCATTTGTGCGGTGATTGGTTTTGAGCTGGTGAGAGAAACTTTGTAACTAAAATATTTCTCATTGCAAAGAAAAGCACTGTATGGTAGAGTGTTGTCTACTTACTAGAAAAGTATTGTAGGTACGGCTTATAATTGGAATTTTGTATACCCTTCATTAAATTTATTAAGGATGACATTCCATTTGCATTATTATAATAACATTATAACAGTCTATGTCGATTTAGTCATGTCAGCCATCATCTAACCATCTAGCTTTCGGACGGGATTGAAACAAGTAAAAAAACATTAAGTTCGACCGGGCCAAACTTTTAATACCCTCCACCTTAGGGTAAAGGAAACATTAGAAGAAATGTGGCAAAAACCATTAAAATGC